TTATACTTTGTATAATTGCGAAGAAAGATGAGCAGTGCTAAAATCTAATTAAATTAATGGCACGAAACGTAAAGACAACAACACAAATAGCAAAAAAAATATCTAATGGGCTCCAAAATTCGATACAGGAATCAACAGACACAAGTCTTACCTGGAATGGATCAATTATAGATTTTAATCGCCCATGTGGTTCGTACATTATAAACATCTAACTTTCCGTAACTATAATTATCCTCTGTTTGCGCTTGTTGCATCACTCTCAAGGAGGATAGTTTCGTTGTCCTTAAAGCTGTTTGTGAAAGCGAAAATTTGTGTTGCCGATCTTTGAAAAGCCGAGTTTAGGCTATTGAAGAACAGATATTGCGATGACGTCTCTTGAAATCGACTGCTAAAGCACTTCTGAAACACAACGGGGCGACGTTCTCGACCCAGTCTCTTACCGGTATTTTTGCTGCGCGCGCCGTTGTCAACTGACGTTCCCGTCCTCTTGCAAAATCTCTCTTTTGTCACTGTCACTGTCACTGTCACTGTCATTGTCATTGTCAATGTCAATGTCATTGTCACTGTCATTGTCATTGTCATTGTCACGGTCACCGTCACTGTCACTGTCACTGTCACTGTCACTGTCACTGTCACTGTCACTGTCACTGTCATTGTCACTGTCATTGTTACTGTCACTGTCACGGTCACTATCACTGTCGGTATCACCGTCAATGTTATTGTCACTATCACTGTCATTGTCACCGTCACTGTCTGTCTCTGTTGCTTTCATTGTCATTGTAATTGTCATTATCCTTATTCATGTAATTATCATCATTATCACTATCATCGTTATTATTATTATCATTATTATTATCAGGTCACGGCTGATTCATTGAGCTGTAAAGCTTGTTACTTATGCTCCCGTTATCATTAGTGCTACAGCACGAACACTTCTTCGCCCCCCAATAAGTTTTAAAGCCGGCGAGAGGTCTGCTTGGGGTCTGGCACTAGAATGGGTGCCAGAACCATTGCAGTCCGTTGTTCTAATTATGAGAGCCTAGTCCCAGGCCATTTAGTCTGGGAGCCTAGTTCCAGGCACCTTAAAGTAAACCGAAGCGCGACAGTTAAATGGCGCGATAGTAACGGAGAAGTGAAAAAAGGAAGGGG